CTCCTAAATCACTCGTACGCACAACTTAAGAACAAATCTGTGCGTACGAACGGTTCTTGCATGAGGCCCAATATTTGTTAGATTCTCTGAAGGCCTGTGGCTGCCAATGTGTCCATTATCTGTGCTAGAAGCAGAGARGCAAGAAACCGCTTTCAAAAACAGCATCCCCTCCAGCCTCTCCAGTATTTCAGTTGAAAGCTCTTCAGAGTCACTTTTATTTACTGTAAATCTGATGCCTACAGAGATAACAGCAGGAGGATGCTGCCTCTGCAGACTAGAAGCACAAYCACCATGCATGCTCAGCTCAAACTGACGCTGTGTTAACGAGGACACACGCGGAGCTTTAATTAAGATCCGTGGAACTCAGAGAAAAGGCAACATTTCTTCATCATGTGTGAGAATGTGAAAAAGCAAAATCATGTTCAGGAAGAGAGTAAACGGGTTGTGGAAATTATACTGGCTGCARGCAGTACTTGATCCTGAGCTTCTCACTGTAGGATTATATCCTGATGGTTGRCAAATATCTGGATAAAATAAAGCTGCCCTAGATATTTTATTACTTCTTTCTAAGTTACCTTGATATGTGAAACARGCTCTGTGCTGTTGTTTACATTAAGTATTTAGTTTACCTGTTCAGTACTTTAAATGTCTTTAAAGACATCCACAGCACTGTAACAAAAAGTGAGACACAAATATAATACAGAAGTCTTTTTTTTCTGGAAAGACATCTGTTTTCTCTTTTATTTCTTCCTTTTTATTGTCTTGACTTTTCATCCTTAATGATATTGGATGTGATATCTTGGTTTTTCATTTTCTCTTCATATGATCTCATTTAACTTGTAGAGGCTCGGCTCGTTTATTAGCTTTAAAGCAGCATTTTGCTGTACAATATTCAGGGTTCCTACAGTTTAAGAGAAGTTAAATTTAAGACTTTTTAAGACCTCTTTAGTGCTACTTCAAAATTAAATTTAAGACCAATATCACAATAAACACAAATGGGGAAAAAAAACCCTGTTAGCAACAATTTTAGCCAAATATTTATTTCAATACAACACAACTAGCTGCGATGGGCATTCAATAAATTATTTAAAAAGAAAAATTAATGTTACCAATTCGTTTAATATTTGAGAGGAATTCCAATCATCTTCCTTACAATGTGTTAACATTTTTAAGACCTCTGAAACATTGATTTAAGACTTTTAAAGGCTAATTAAGGCCTTATTTTTGGACTGATAACTTCAACGCCTTTTAAGACTTTTTAAGGATCCGCGGGAACCCTGATGTTACTATTTTACAGTAGTTAAAGTTTGTTTAGGGTTTGTTTAGCACAAATCTGAAGTGAAAGTGGAGTGTAGCAGTGCTGTGTGGTCGAGGATGTACGAACCTGTGCAGCAGCCCGATTGCCTTGTGGACGMCGACTCGGCCGCTGCCTTCCTTAGACTGACCGTCCCTCTTGTCACGAGCGTACATGTTTTTCTCAGAAAAGTTGCAGCCCAGGAAATCAAAGTGGGCAGAATTCACAGCTATCAGTCTGGGATACAGCATGTTCTCTACCTGCAAGAGGACGAAAATAAAATGCAATGTTTCGGGTTGAATTTGCTGTAGATGTCAGGTGAAGACAAACTTTTGAGTCAAAATCGTTTGAAATAAAAAAAAGAAAAGAAAATGTTGCTAAAAATAAAAACTACTTGTGATTTCACGCTTCCAAAAATACTTCAAACCCAAAGAGGAGCATCAGTTTTACCTGCTGGCTCTCTTCAGGAAGGTTATTTCCGTACATGAAGCATCCGCGTTTAGAGGCGTGGCCGTGTAAGTCCACGTAATACGCCACCCCTCCCTCCTGTGGGGGCACCGGCTCCTCCGCCTGCGGTGCAGCTACGTCTTCAGTGGCAGGAGCTACAGTCTCTGAGGCATCTGGAGAAATGTTCTGGTCTCCTTTCTTCGTCTCTGCGGCGGTCCAGGTGTTCTCCCCCGTCACTGTGGGAACCTCGGCTTGGACGGGGTTTCCGTCTTTCTCTGCYTTGCGTTGGTTCAAGCTGACCTCCAGTGGGGTGAGGGCTGGAGACTGAGGCTGATTTGCGGACTTGTTGTTGAGGGGAGTGAGTTGTGTGTGAGGGGTGCTGTTACTGTGTGTGTGGTGGTAGAGCAACAGAGCTTTGGCTGCATAGATGGAAGGGTGAAGCTCGGGGATGGGGTTCAAGTATTGTCGGTTCAGGTTCACACCTCTGGAATCAGTTCTGGAAAAAGAATGGAAAAAAGCTTGATGCGCTTATCRGTATTTCCAAGTCATTTGAACCTTTGTTGACACGTTCGTCTTCATWTATTTTTGACAAACTGAAATATAGAGTCCAAAAGAAGAGCCTGCAGCTTACACTCCAGCCTCTAGGTGGCGATAATAATCTGGTTCGTCATCTATTTATACAAAAAATATAGGAAAGTAATGAATTTCAAGAGATTTCTGACCACAGTTTGGTAGGTTTTTTTAAGTCCCAGTGTTTCCTGAGAGGCTTTCCTCAATACCTCCTTCATTTTATGTTCTGTGACACTTTAAAAATAAAAATTTACAGAGAAAAAACATRTTGATTTTTGTGCATTTTAAACTCAGTAACTAAATACTAGTTACAGTTACAAACAATATGACTGCTGAAGTTAAAAATTCAGGTTAAAAGCTTTAAAAAGAGACCAAGCTTGTGAATTTACTCTAAAGGGTTCAAGAGCAGTACTTCATTAGCTGTGTTTCCGTTGACCATGAAAATGCGCAAATTAGATTTTCGAAAATAAATTTGCTCAATGGAAACACGTCAATTTRGAAAAAATGTACGTATTTTTGACAAAATGTTTTTGCGCTAGGATGAGGTGGTTTTTCAGCCGTGTCGAAGTTGGTGTTTTTCGCAAAACTGCAATGGAAACACTTTTTTCGTATCACCAGAGTCACGTGATCAACAACCGGCTGTTTCTACTGGTGAAAAAGATGATGACAAAGAAGAAAACAGGAAGTAGAAGTAGTAGTAGTAATATCACAAAAGTAGTATACTCACAGACTACAATTTCCCAAAAACACAGCATACGTAGCCACTCCCAAGTAGGGGCTTGTCGCTGGAAAGCCTTGATAAAGCTGACGTCTCCTCTGATAATGAGCGCTAGTGTCGTGGTATCAATATGCTATGTGTTTACAGCCATTGCTGCCATGTTTGTTATGATATCGTGAGAACAAATGTATTCACGTATGACTTAAATAGCATTTCTTACTCAGTGGAAACACTGCCGTTTCGAAACTGTGTTTTTTCGACATTAACAGGATATCGACAAAGTTTTGCGCACATTTGCAATGGAAACGCAGCTATTGAAGTTTTATGGGATTTTGGCTGGTCTCACCTGTAGTGTCCTCGGACYACCCCGTCTGGGTTGAGCATGGGGATGAGCTTGAACACAAACATGTTGCGCAGCATGTGTGCACGCGGGTCATCTCTTCGCAGAATGAAGTTGAGGAAACCGTTGAACACGAAGGACGAGGGGGTTTCCCCGGGGTGCACACGACTGCTGAGGAAAAACACCTGCACACACACACACATCTTTTACACTTAAAAAGTGACTGGACATCACGCTCAAAGGTAACAGAAGACAGRATTTGGCGTTATGGTTGAGATGATACCCTTTTGCCAGGGAAGCGGTGAGGTCTTGGAGTTTTGGCGTCAGGAAACAGCTTGGGCAGACGAGCTTCCCTCTCATCCTGCATCCCGTTGCAGTTGGTCACAGTGAGCAGGTCCACCCTGTTGCCGTCTAGAGAGTGGCACAGCAACTCCCGGTGGTAATACACAGTACCTGGTGCACTGACAGAAGCAAG